TATGAACAACATGCTTGATAATATCAGATGGATATTTTAGTCATATGTTTCTGCAAAATGTCAGGTTTTCAATTGCTGTCATTGTTTTGCAATCATAATGAGTATATTATTACTGAACTAAGTTGAGCTTTAGCAGTTGGATTAGGTAGTAATGACTCCTTTTACATCTACGAACAAGGTTTGCTGCATCCCCACAACCCAAGGCAGCAGAAATCCCTATCCCTCATCCTTCATGTACTTGGAACTGTAGCTATCAGCAACTCAATGTTTCGTTGGATACAGAATCGAAAAATCCACTCAGAACTTGGGAGTTCGTGAATTGACTTTTGTCCAACCCAATTCTATATGCAATTTACACGCCAGCAATAGTTCCTTTTACTAATCAATGAAGAACAAATCCATCATCATCATCAGGAAGGAAAGATGCATTGACAAAGCCTTCGAAACCATTCTCGGAGCAACCCCGGAGAGAGCACCAGGATCTGTATAACCGCAAGGATTCATGCATGCATGCAACGCATCGACGAAGGACAGCAGCACTATGTGGGCGTGGAAGAGTCTCCCTCTTCCCAGGATCTTTGGTGCTGCGTCTCAGACCTTCTACTTTGTGTAATACGCTCAGCCAGTACGCGTGGCTTTGACTTCACATTCCTCACGATGGGAGCAGCACTGATTCCCTAAAGCATGCACAAGGATTAGCTGTACGTGTCTGCTAATATTTCCAAGACAGTTCTTCCCCCTTTGACTTCTCCGTCGTCTACACATCATAGATCGACCAAATGTTTCCTCATCCAATGGTTGGTGTAAAGCTAAAGATCTGTTCCATTTACAGCATAAGACATGCATCAGATCACTCTGTCGCCCCACACAAATTACTGCTGAGTTTCCGGGTCTTGGTCTCCCACACCAAACTTCTAACTCAAGTCTTTGTCACCGAGTTTGACTAAGAGTCAGCTACCTACCTACGAGTTTGCACGCTCTCACAGTTGACTGGGTTGTGTCATCGAAACCGGATCCCGATGAGCTCGTTAATTTCTTACATGAAATCGTATCATGCATACACAGTGATTTAACGTGGCACTTATGCAACACCATTACTTGTCAAGCAAATATAATATCTCAAATTTTAGTACATCACCGAGTACCACGTCAGTGCATGTGAGAACCACAAGTGCTACTGCACCATCACCAACTCACCAAAAAAAAAATAATAATAATAATAATAATAATAATAATAAACGAGACAATTATCGAAACATTGTAATTCGTTTTATGAGATGAGTTTCCAGATAAAGAGAAACATTTGGTAGAAGAAGAAAAGGAGGGACTGTGTCTTACCCCTAACAAATCTACAGCAGACGCCTAAATCTACCCATTCCTCGGGTGGCACATCTCCAATGGTGAGAGAAAAAAGGTGCAGTAGGACCACTCAGAGTAGAGCCTCGCATTCTGTGCTCTGATGATGTTCCCGCTGCCAACACAGAGAAAGAGACGTTCCGTGGTGACAGCATGTGCAATCTTACCAATCATTTCCTCTCTCATGGTACACTCCTCATGCAAAATGCAATTACCGATACGTCCTACAGAACTGGGTAGCAGTGATTTTGTTCTGAACAGTGACATGGCTTCACTGCTGTAAAGGTTGTCGATCACAGTGACTGTGAGAGAAGAGATAGCAGCGTTGAGCAAACAGGCTAGTTGGAACAGGAAAATGTACTCTTGCCTGACCTGGCCGTGCTTATCTTTCGGCTGAGGATAAATGGAACACATGCTTAGGTTTCTGATAATAATGCATGTACTCGCCTTGAAGATTTTGTACCACAGTCAATAAGATCAACGCAATTGACATGATCAATACTGTTATGAACTGCATTTTTTCGAAGTTAATTGCTGAAGATAGTTAATTAACTGATCAAAGAAAAGATGATTAACATCATAATTAGTTTAATCGAAGTCCCCATCAAGGTCTTGTCGAGTGCGTTTTTTGTTCTCCCTTGACCTGATCTTGCAAACTAGGATCGGTCATACAAAAACCTTACACGCAATGTGGCTGCCTAGGCTTTCCAACGAGATCATGTGATGCATTGTATTTAGTTGATAATAGTATAGCCAATAGATATCGGCCAAAAGAATTCGCTTAAAGGTCTTATGGACTCTGATGTATGCACTTAATTCTATCTCTTCAAAGAATCGACTATGGTGTTATGATCCGATCATATATTAAATTACATCACATAATAAAAAGATAAAATAAAATATCTTTAGATATATTATGAAAAAATATCATCGATGTTCTAGTCAGTCTGATATGGTTCAAATCCGTATGTGCAAGGTTATCCGAGATGTCTCCGAGATGAAAATACTGACCTCCCGAGATATCATATATATATATAAATATCATGATTATAAGATATTTTCTAATCTAATCCCTTAGACGCTCAAGTTAATAACTCGAGAAAGATGAGTATGATGATCAACGATGAAAAATAATGACCCCATGCAACTATGCTAAAAATGAATTTTTATACTTAATCGTAGAGAGAAAATATTTTGTAGACTATTCTGTAGGGAGACAACCCTTAATCATCTCTAACAATAGCGACGAAGACAATTTGTAATTATTTGCCTTGGACCCTTATCCATATAGACAAACCGATTATAGACGATTTCTATCTCCTTCTTCAAGCCTCAACATCATACGGAGGTTACACGTGGAATAATGATTGATCGATAATATTCTTCATATCAAGATAGAAAACTTGTTTTCCTCTTCTCTTTCTCTAAAAAAAATTATAATGATAGACTTTCGAGAGATCCATCTTTTACGCATGAAAAACTAATATTATAATGATATCTTCCACTAAAGAAAAATGGGAAAATATGTAGGACACCGGTTTATTAGTTTCAATCATCTGAAAATTGTTAGGTGTAGAACGGCTCAAAAGAAAAAGTGTCTACTCGTAGACGACCTGTTTTGTATCCAACCTATGCCACCAAGAAGACAACCAAACAGGGAATCTTAGGGCTAGTGAGTTGGATATCGAAGTACTGTTGCCATGTCAAAACCTTGTCCCACTAAACTACAAGAGAATTACACTTTATACATGTGAACTGTGGAAACAGATTCGTCACGTAGTCGCTACGAATTCTTTGTTGGAATGAATGTCTTGTGGATTAATCTTTTTTTGCTCGACTTATGTTTCTCCATGCCATACTAATGGACAAAATGCCTTTTGCACGGAATTCCTCCTGCCTAATAGGTTTAACTTGGAACGTATATACTAGACCATATTCTAAGTAATTATAGGGTGATAGAGTCCAAATCCTAGTCGGCTACAACGTTAAATTAGGGTTTCTTGACGGCCGAGTTTGACTTCATTTACTTGACTTCACCAAATCTCCGGCATTGCTGATTTTTTGGGCTGGTGTTGGCTTGGATCACACTGTCATCAGTAGGTCCCAACTCTCTCCTATCATACATCTACTAAATGACAAGTGGGACTAAAGAATAATTCCTGAGGAATGCTATCAAAATTTGAGTAGGAATTCCTATCTACACAAGAGAGAGAGAGAGAGAGAGAGAGAGAGAGAGAGAGAGAGAGAGAGAGAGAGAGAGAGAGA